TTACGTAACTAAAAGGGAAAAAACCGTAGAAGCACACTAGGGAATTGTAGCTAATATGATATCATATATAAGTCTTACATTTAAATTGACATCATTTAATGTTTTATAACTGAAAAATGAATTAGACATATACAACATGTAGATGCGTTTTCTTTTGGGTTGAGTAAAAGATTGATTTAACACGAACGTGTAGGATATTTTACGAATTATTTAGCTTGTCGTGCATAAAAAGAAGGACATGAGGCTTGCTTACGTATTAATAATAGTCAGTTTATTATTGCAAGCTAGTTCCATGGTACGGATGTGTTTTATATGGTCGCCATACTTTGATTTATTCTATGAAATAACATCATTTATACTGTGAAACGTGGAGTTAAAAGATTTCATCAATTTTTGTCCAGTTTCCTGAGTAGTTCCTGTAAAGGGTCAGACTCATATAAATAACGAAATAAGTCGGCAAACAGAGGATCAACATGTAATGGTTTCCCATAGCAATGATTATTGTCTCTAAAAAAATATGTCCTCCAAGTTTAAGAAATATGTTGTCAAAAAATTAACCACCTTGATGGAAGATAGTGAAAGACTGATCTTCAAAGCAGGAAAGTATTATCGACAACTTCCAGAACAACCTAACCTTTACAAAATAAAGATTGTTACCTCAGAAAACCTATATAATATTATTTTCTATGACCAGGGGTACACATTTAAAACATTGGGCAACCGCTATACACAATTCAAATCTAATCTGATACTCATTATTGTACTTAATATATAATCAATTGATTCAATCATATCAGAAATAGTTCGAAACGAATATTTTGAAGCAATTTTCTTCTTCCTATATATGGAAACATATTCCTAAACAGATAACTCAACCAGAACAAAATTGACATGATCTAAATCTTCTCATGATATATCTTTAAACCAAATATCTATACACCTTGATCAAAAATTGACTAATCGGGAGAAAACACACTCAATTTTATCTGCAACTGTTTATAATATGAGTATAAAGTAAACCCCTCATCATATGATACAAGAAATTAGAAAATAAAATTGGAAATCTAATATTTTTAATTGATTTTTATTATTTTCGCCACAACTTCCACAAAAATCACCCAATCAAAACGAAATTTAACATCTTTCATCTGTATCTTAAATGTCTTCGTACATCAATCTTCCATATGACCGGTTTCGTCATGTTCCTTCCTTTGACAATTATACTAAATACGATTTATTTATCGTATTATGATTGATACTTATATAGGTTATTACAAGAATTACTCCCCCTGTCGAATAACATTGTCTTATTCCGTATGGAGTTCTGGCAATCAAGATCACCTTCTTTTGATATATTTCAATAATTCAGATTGCATTCACTCCCCTGTTTGTTGGTTGGTTTCTTAACTAATCTTTTTACCAATACATGTTTGCAACATAACATTTATTTGTGCCAGGATATAAGATATTAACTTAACATATGTTTTTACCTGAATGATATGTTTGTTCGTGAATATATGTGTGTACAGGGGATTAGGTTTGTATCAGGAATTAGTTTGTACCTGGAATTAGGTTTGTAGATATAAGAAGATGTGGTATGAGTGCCAATGAGACAACTCTACATCCAAGTCAAAATTTATAAAAGTAAACCATTATAGGTCACAGTACGGTCTTCAACACGGAGCCTTGGCTCACACCGAACAGTAAGCTATAAAGGGCCCCAAAAAATTACTAGTGTAAAACCATTCAAACGGGAAAACCAACGGTCTAATCTATATAAAAAACGAGAAACGAGAAACACTTATGAACCACATCAACAAACGACAACTACTGAACATCAGATTCCTGACTTAGGACAAGTGCAAATTGTACCTGTAACTAAGTTTGTACCTGGATTTATGTTTGTTCGTAGACCTATTAAGGCATTACAGACTAATAATGTCTGTATTTATCATATTTTTCGTTCGTATGATGAGTCATAGATATAAGAAGATGTGGTATGAGTGCCAATGAGACAACTCTCCATCCAAGTCACAATTTGTAAAAGTAAACCATTATAGGTCAAAGTACGGCCTTCAACACGGAGCCTTGGCTCACACCGAACAGCAAACTATAAAAGAGGGACGAAAGATAACAAAGGGACAGTCAAACTCACAGATCAAAAACAAACTGACAACGCCATGGCCGAAAACAAAAAGACAAACAGACAAATAATAGTACAGATGACACAACATAGAAAACTAAAGACTAAGCAACACCAAACACCATACCACCTTTGATAAGTGTTTCATAAGGGCCCCAAAAATTACAAGTGTAAAACCATTCAAACAGGAAAACCAACGGTCTAATCTATATAAAAAACGAAAAACGAGAAACACTTATGAACCACATCAACAAACGACAACCACTGAACTTCAGGATTCTGACTTAGGATACGTGCAAACTAAGGCAGCGGGTTTTAACGTTTTAATAAGCGCCAATCTTCACCCTAACCTGAAACAATAGTGTAACACCACAACAAAGGAAGACACAATATAAAATATCAATTCGAATGGCTTAACTCAATCAAAAGACATATTAACAAAAACAAGTGCACATACATTGAACGAATAAATTTGATCTATGACACAATGTAAATACAAAATTAATAATAAAAAAAGGGGTGAGATGTAAAACAATATAAGAAAGACAACAATCACCTTAGACAAAAGGCCGCCAATTAAAATAACGTATACAGGTAAATAACAATAATGCTGCTGTAAGGTATACATGGAGTACGGAAATATTGATAAAAATAAATAATTTTGTTGTTCATAGTAAGAGAAGAGAAGTAAAAATTTATCGTCATACCAAACACTTATCAAAGGTGGTATGAATTAAAAATAGTGAGAGGAGATATAACACTAAATAAGTAAACATTATATAACAAAACTGCATTACAAATTGTATCAACAGGTCAGATTAACATGAAAGTACGATTTGAGAGTACTCGCAGTTACTGAAAGCTAGTTGAAAGCCAAAAAAACAATTAATAATAAAAAATCATGCATCATAAACATTATGAATAAAATAAAAGTCAAAAGATCTTAATTAATTTCATTTCACGTTTCATAAACTGAAGAGTACGGTTGTCATATATGAAACAATATATTTAAATGAGATGTAATGAAAGCCTGATGTTACATGCACCAACAAGATATCTGACGTTCATGGTGCAGTTAAAGGAAAGACGACATATGTTTGAGACACCAATTATAGTCGAAAGATCTCGAAGTAGAAAAAGTGCTACAAGCATCAATTTCAAAATGCAAACATTTATCATATTTTTTTTTCATGTAATTTTGTATCTATATTTTATGGGTGGCCGGAGGGAGACGAAAGATAGAAATATTAATCAACTATTTGCCTTGTTATAGTTTAGAACAAAGGGCCATTGGTCATCTTGCAGTACCCTCTTTGAAGTCTTATGTATAGCAAAATCTGTTTAAATGGTACAAAGTAAGATGATGTTAATTTTTTAAATCATAGTAAATTGTTATAAACCTCCCGGTAGCCGACTGCAATTGCTTGAATTTTATCTGTCTAATTTATTTGTTCGTTATATCTTCAATTTTTATTTACGTACAATAAAGGATTCGTAAGCAACAGTAGAAACCAATTAATCCTGAAAGGCTGCTTCAACCGATTTGTTTCATGATTTAACATTTGGCTGCGAGTTTGCCCTTTGCGAGGTCAACTAGTGATACCAGTTTGTATATAATATTTGGGCACACATATGCCATATATTCTAACTTTTCAATCTGACTTGTCGAACCCTCTGACATCATCACTAACCTCTGAAACATCAACTTTATTATTTTGATTTCTTGTGTTATGTTGATGAATTACGATATTTCATTCATACTTGAGGTGTTTCAGTATTTGTATCAATTGAGTTTTGTAAGTGAGGTTTTGTATATTGTTAAGTAGTTTATATATTCATATGCCTGACCAAAATCAAGTACTTGGTTAGTGTTTGTTTTAAATCGTTTATCAATTCAATTTTAGAGCACGACATTATATATAACCATCTGTCTATGTTAACATCTAGCTGTTTGGGGTATTTGTATCCTTAGGTTGACGTATCATTGACTTTTGCCCCCACATTTCCTTCTAAAATGGGAAGTTTTAGTTAAAACATTCCAACCGGCTAAACATATTCTAATTTCTGGATAAGGTATAATGACTGATAAGTAGACTGTCATTGTAAAATAAACTATGGCTTTGTTTATAAAAAAAATCAATAAGTTTTCCTAAGCGGACATTTTCCTTTCGGTAATGAAATAAGCTGCTGGAAAAATCAACTGAAAATGTCACGCTGTACCCTTTAACAGTAAAATTCGAATTTAGGTATCAACTTTTAGTTTTTTCTTTTTTTTCTAAGTTTTTGTTTCCTAATGTTTTATGCTCTTCTTAGTGTTATTCAATCATTACTGTTCTTCCGAGGTTGTGTTGCTTAATCTCTAGTTTTCTACTGGAGTATGTAGCGTTGGTCAATCTTTATTCTTTTTTCGGGAGGGGGTTCTAATTTTTAGTTTTCGTGTAGTTTTTTATGAACTGTTGTTTTTATGATAATAGTTATTTTTCCCTTTTGATAATGGTGTTGTTTGTTTTTCTCTTATTGAGGTTTCTTAGTGTTCCTTATGTTTTTACGTATGAGAATTATAAATTTCACATATTGGATGATCACATTTGAGTTGACAAAATCAAATACTACGCTTCATATATACTGCTTGAGCAAATGAACTGAAAAGAGAGAATATTTACTGATACTCTTCACTTTACTGATTGAATATTTTTTTTTAAGATTCAACTGTATCTTTTAAATTTCCTGAATTATTGTTGGAAAAACTTGTATCAGTTGAACAAGTTGCAACATTATTTACATAATCAAAAAGCTACATGTAAGTCAATCTGTCTTGAGTATCCAAGGCAATTGAGGTTAAAAACAATAACGATCATTTGAATGCGATGTTTATTCGTTTATTTATTTAGAATTTAACTTTACTCTTCTTCATTGTCTAATAAAAACAGTATTTTACCCACCAATCACGACACCAACTAGGTGATTTGGCAGGAAAATGACTTTTTCCGAATGCTCTTACTGCTGTGTAATAGTCGAGAGGAAACAGTTTGCAAACGTAACTATTTTTGCATGCCTTCATCATGTTTACGTAAAACCTGCTATCACAATATGACCGATGGAGGTGGTAGGAGTTCGCCTGGAAAAGAAGACCATCAAAGATTTCATATTCATACATACAAATTGATATCATTCCAAAATGTAAGTACCAATACAAACATGTAGCCTTTCTTTTATCCTGCTTATCAGTACATACTATTTTTTTCTTTTTTTTTTTGTATATAACTTATTGCTAATCCAACTCCGTCCCACAAAAGAACAACAAATAGTACAACAATGTACAATAAAGAAAAAAAACAGCACAAAAAAAATATAAAACAATTCTTTCGAACATTCTTCAACTAATCTTAGACACAAATACAATTGAACTTTGGCAAATTAAAATACTGATGTACAGTAATCAACAAGATATTCATTAAAGTATACAAACACTTATTTCAAAATATATCAAAACCCCACCATGAAAATAATGTGTTATGTTGACAAAGATTAATACTTAAGTCTGATTGAACGTGGTTTATCTATTATTTATTATAAGCTCCGCCCTAGCTTTAAGTATCATAGAGTACTCAAATATTAGTGTTTTGTGTCCACTTTTTTATGTTAGTTGAATTGTTTGCTTTGTACCAATCTATTGAGTAAAGGCTTCTGCAACTGATTTTTACAGTTTGTTCTTATTTTGTGTTCTACTCCTGTCCAAGGTTATGGCAGGATTTAGCGTTCACAGACATGTTTTACCCCACATCATTCTTTAATGTGCCTGGCAAAAATCAGAAGCACGAAATTCAGTGGTTGTTGCTGGTTCATGTCGTATTTGTTTTTCATAAATTGTATTAATATAAGTTAGGCCGTTAGTCTTCTCTTTTGAATTGTTTCAAATTTTTCATATCGGGGCCTCTTTTTTATCTGACTATACGGTATTGGTTTTTCTCATTGTTGAAGGCCGTATGGTGAAGTATAATTGTTTACATCCACGTCATTTGAATTCTGGTACAAAGTTGTCTCATTTGCAAATATACCACAGCTTCTTATTTTCATAAAGGATACAAATTCCTGTTTGTTCGACTATGATACCCTAATCATGTAGACATTGCTAGTAAATAATTTGAATCACGTCATTTTTTTTTTAACAAAACTTCATTTCCTATTGCTTATACGGACTTAAGTGATCATCAAAGAACTATAAGTATACTCACACATGAGTAGCAAATATCATGCTTGTTACAGGACGGTGTAAATTTTTTCTTGTAGAAATAAGGCAAGCTTACACCTCTCACTTCAACACTACACCCATTTGCATGACCATGATGGTAACATGGGTATGCTCCAACAAAGACATTCCAGGCAACAAAGATATAATGCATTGAGTCATAATCTACAAAGGAAAAACATAAGTAAATATGGTTTTATTCATAATACCAGTCAGACATGTCTGACTTGTATTAACAAACAAAGTTTACCAAGCTCAAAATTCAAGTTCACTGTACTATAACAAACATTGTCAAATGAGGTTTAACTATAATTCGACATATAAATCGCGCAATAATTTTAGCAGCTTCTATATTATTTCCAAAACATATTAAGCGACAGCAAACTCTCTCACATCACATGTTAGCAATGTTGTGTCATTTGTGTGGTGTTATATATTGTCTAATATAAAGATCCTTATGTATTGAAAAATGCCTCGTTAGTTGAAAGCTTTAGCCTTGTACATTGCGATTTTCTTGGTTTGAGAATCAAAAAGATTTTTGTCAAAAACCATTTTTTATATTTCATACTGCAATAGAAGGAATCTTATGGATTTTTACAGAAATCATGTCACAGTTAATTTTGAAATCCAATGACATGCCTAAGCATCTGTCCTATACAACCTTATGAAATGAACTATAATGACTGACATTATTATATTTCGGGTACACAATCAATCTAAGAAACGATTGTATCTTTTGTTTGCTTTTAAATATATATATATATATAGTGTCTAAGAATAGCAACAATCAACATTCAATCTATCTAGGCGTGGATCAGTTTGAAAATAAACTGATGCAGTTACTAAATTAATTTATATAAATGCCTAAGAATGTAACTTTAACACACGAGTGGGTGTTATAAAAATAGTTGGTATATTTTATATATTCACGCAATATTTCGCTAAACAAATTAGCTTCATCATCATGCAGCCATCCAGGTAAAAATCGGATGGTGTAAAGAAATTTTTGCAGCTTACTTAACATGTTTTTTGAATATATTTTTGCAGCTTATTGTACATTGCGATTCTTAAATAAAAACAAATAATTGTGTTAGTTAAATAGTAGGAAGTTCAAGATTTATTCCTTTGGTTTTGGATAAAACTTTTTTTTTTTCATCTCTCTTATTCAGTCCATCATGTTCAAGAGTACCTAGCTGATGCATCCAAAATCTCTCTCTCTGTTTTCTACTTTGGGTGTCCCAATTTTGGTTGATCTCTGTTATTTGAAAGGTGATATTTTCAAAAGTATGTCCTGTAATTCAGCGGTGTCTCGTGATTTGGCAGTTTCTTTCTTTGGTTAAAAATGACCGGTGATTATTAAGTGTGATGTTGAATTTTATTTCTGTTTCGCTAACATACTGCAGCTTGGAAGTTCCACAGGTAAGAATATACATACTATTTTACGTTTTACAATTAGATGTAACATAAATGTCGTATCGCTGCTTTGTTACTGTGCTGGTGAAAGAGTTTCTAGTGTTGGCGACTTTACAGCACTTACAATTGCTTCTTCCGAATTTTTTGTAACACCCGATTTTAGAGGTTTCTTATTTTTGTTTACTTTAGGTGTAACAAGTATAGGGTCTGCAATAAGCAATAACAGGAGGTGATGTGAAAATTTCTTTTAAGGAAGAGTCATTTTCAATAAGACGCCAGTGCTTGCGGACAGTAGATGAAATATTTGTCAGATCGGGATGGAAGTTGGCAACAAACGGAATTCTATCTGTGCTGGTCGTCTTATCTCGTATTCCATGAGGGTTTTTCGATCTATTTCTTGAGCTTTATCGAAAGCTTCTGTGATATTTTTGTTTTTGTATCCACTTGATTTTAGTTGTTTTATGTGTTGTCACAAACGGTAGTTGCGTTTGGACTCCGAGGAGCAAATTCGTTATAGTCTGATGGCTTGACTGTAAGGAATGCTTCTGGAGCAGTGTTTCGGATGACAATTTTTCGGAGAGAGAGAAACTGTTATTTTCAGTTTTCTTTGTGTGGAGATCAGTTGTCATGACCCCGTTTTTTACACATGTGGTGGTGTCGAGAAACGCAATTTTCTCGCTTGAAAATTCAGATGTAAATTTTATTGAATGATGGATTTTGTTACAATGATCTAAAATATCTTGTAGATGTTCTGCAGTATCGTTCCATTTCATGTCAATATCATCAATAAAACGGAGCCAAGACAAGGTTTTGTATGGCACACTCAAAAGGATGCGTTCTTCAAGATCCCCCATAAAAATGTTGACAAATGAAGGTGCCATTTTTGTTTCCATACTAGTACCGTCAATCTGTAAAAAGTGCTTGTCGTTGAAAATAAAGTTGTTATTTTCAAGCAGTAGCTTAAGTAACAGAAGTAGACAGTCAGTAGGTGGATGTTTATCCTTTCGAGTGTTCCATACTTTTTCACACGCGTTTATTCCTTCATGTTTCGGAATATTAGTGTATAAGGAACAAACACCCAAAACCAAAATTGTGTTGTTAGGTAAGGGACTTGAGGAATGAGAGAAATGAAAAAAAAAAGTTTTATCCAAAACCAAGGAATAAATCTTGAACTTCTTCTTATTTAACTAACACAATTATTTGTTTTGATTTAAGAATCGCAATGTACAATAAGCTGCAAAAATATATCTAAAAGACATGTACAGTAAGGTGCCATCCGATATTTACCTGGATGGCTGCACGCGCCTGATGAAGCTAATTTGTTTACGAAATATTGCGTGAATATATAAAATATAACAACTATTTTTATAACACTCATTCGTGTGTTAAAGTTACATTCTTAGGCATTTACATATATATAGATGTAAAAACGCATCAAAAATACCAGGGTAATAATTACATAAGACTTATCAGTGACGATATATTGAATTCAAGGTATGGCTAAGAAATCTTAATTTCACAACATTATCATTTGTAACGATACATTAATCCGCAACCAACACAAATATAGCATTAATAAAGTCTTTGTAATCTTTAAAGATGACATGTTGTTAGTTTACATTGTTTCGAATATTTAAAAACTGTGTTTGAAAAACTTTTCCCGTTGTGTCAAAAAAGTTCTTTACCGATCTCTTACGTGAATGTCAAGTACAGCGATACAGCTTAGTTTGCTAATGTAACACATCTCCTGATGTGACGCAATCGGTTAACAATAAAAGTACATTACAAAGGATATAAGGTCTTGTTCATTCGTAACGCCTTTCATTAAATGTCAGGAGAGGAAAAAAGAAAAAAGAAGTTCCTTTAATTTGATTATCTGCAACTGTTTATAACTTTTTTCGGCACCTACAACTTAACCTTGTGTTGACCTGGATTGATTCTTGTTTTTTTAATGCCCGTTTTGATTGTATAACTCATTAAGTGTTTATATTGTTACTCATCATAGGCTTTCAATGCTTATGATTGAGCTTTCTTGTTTATGGTAAATCCAGAAATGATATTTGGACGCAACAAAATTTATATGTTTTTTTTTTTTTCATTTTACACTTGAGAAAAAGATTGATTAAGCAATTACAGTTTATGTATGTGTATTTTTATTCAGTTGTTTAACTAAGAACTGTAATAAATAACATACCTTTTACTCTGTAGATATGCTGATATTAGTTAAAAAAAAAGTATCAACCGCTTCCGTGTTATACAGAATTCTTACCTAAAACGCGATACACTATTCAAAACATTATTTGATACTATTGATATTTGAACAAGATATACTCATCAGTAAAACACCAAACGAGAGATGTCATATGATCGATTAAAAATATTATTGCACCATGTTTTACAAAGACTGCGACAAATTTTTAAAAATGCAAGTCGTAATTCATAGAATATTTTAAATAAACCGATCGTTAAAATGATAACATCAATAGGTTACATGAAATAGTGTTTGAAGACTTTTTTTTAATGAAATTCTAATTAGATATAAGATTTCTTGTCCTCAATGATTAAAAAAATTCTATTTAAAGTGAAATGTTTTCTTAAATCGCATCGAAAAAATGCTCAATTTACTTTTTGTATTTATCGGACTTTACGTATTAGCACGAAAAGTATAATTAATCAGGATAAACAACCCCATGTGCTATGGAATTGAATAATAGATTAATAATATTACATGTCAGCTGATTACGATTTTCAACCTTGAACGAATACCAACATGACAGTATAAGCTTTTAGAATGAGAGTCATGACGATAAAAGATACATTAAGTAAACATTAAAAAAAAAAAAAGAGTTATTTGGAATTCGCTCTTCTAAATCTAAATCTCCTCGACTGTACAGCGAATGAATGGCACATTTTATCGCAAGACATTTTAATTTTTTAACGTTTAACAATGTTGTGGTATTTGTAAAATTAAACAAAAGATCTCTTTGCAGCGGTATTCGACATGCTACTTTTTTAACAAGTGTCTGGCTTAACCATTTGTGCTGATTTGAAGGGCAAAGGATTATAGAATAAATGTAAACAAATCATTTTTCAGAAATATAGATATGTAAAAATATGGATGTTCCACATTTAGAAGCCGCGTCGTTAAGGGGTTTCGGGTTTTGCAAAATTGCAAACAAATTTATCTGGGTTCTTTCCCTGAAAATTCATCCCTTGAATTTGAAAATGTTTCAGCGTCAACACAGGCCTTCGAAAATATCTACTTTTACGATAGAGACAGAGGAATTGAAGAAAAATGTACTATTACCGCCCACTTGAAATGAATTGCCCATATTTACCCATTTTAAACCATCATAGGCCAACCTGTTGGTTTACATCAATGTTGCTATGTTGCTTCGGTCATGATTTATTTAAAGACCACTTTCTAGTGAATCGCGAAGCCGATTTTTTTTAATTGTTTCTGGAAATCTTACGTTTTAATTCTTTTTCGTTTTAGTTTTGCTGTTGTTTTTATTATTATATGTGCGTAGTAAAGGAAGACGTAATATATTGTGACATTGCAATCCCAGTATTTTAATTTTAGAAGTATAGAAATCTTCTAGTTATAATGTATTTTATCGTACTTTATTTCCATATTTTTATGATGAACAGTGGTTTTTATCAATGTTCGCTTGATCTAATTGCAGACTAAGTTCCAACGAAAAATTTTGACTTCATTTCATGTTG